CCCGCAGCCAGCAGCCGGGCCCCGCGCAGAGTCCGCAGCCCGGCCCGGAGCGCCGAGGAGCTGCCGCCCAAGCACGAGGGAGCCGCGGCGCGGAAACACCTGGCGCCCAGGTCAACCGTCCCCGGGCCGCGCCCAGCGGGGGCTCCTGCGTGCGGATCTGTGCCTGGCACGTGGGGCTCGGGTCGCGCCCCGCTGCGTCAGCTGATGAAGGTGCTTCTCTTCAAAGCCCTCGTGCTGCTGTGTTGACGGTGCAATCCAAAAGAAAAAAAAAATTTTTTTCCCCCTCCTGAGCTGGGCGTGGTGGCCCAAGCCTGTAATCCCAGAATTCTGGGAAGCTGAGGCAGGAGGATCACAAATTTGAATTCAGGGCAGTTTAGTGAGATTCTGTCTCAAGACATTTTCTTTTCTTTTTTTTTTTTAAGCATGTCATCATGCTGTATTATTGAATACAGACGACTTCCCGCCTGTCACCTAGAGCCCATGGCACCCACTGTTGCTTGGCTGCCAGCCTTATGTCTCTCTTCGGCAATGGTGAGGTAAATGCCCTTTCCACAGGGAAGACAAATCCATGGTTTGCCCTTGCTAGTAACTAAAACGTTGGCGAGCCAGGTGACAAAGCTGTCATCCATGAGATGCAGGAGGCTTCTCCCTGTGGGCGATCACGCTGGTCTTCCCGCAGGGCTCCTCTGGCCTACACGCAGTTTACCGGTATCAAACTTGATAAAATTGGGATCTTGCCAGTGTCTGACCCAGTCTGGACCGAAACTGCCTTGGTGCGGGGGCCCAGGTAGGGTCCCCGCATGTGGGATTCCTTCCTCGCCCAGAAAGGCCTTTGTTACTCTGCGCCATTCGTCCTTAGCCCCTCAGGGGCGACGTGGCGGACGGCGATGTGACCCTTGGTGTCAGCGATCAGTTGGAGGTGCTGGTGTCATCCACGAAGCCGGGCGGAAGGTCGATGGACACTGGCTTTTCGCCTTGGCGCTCGGTGACGCGCTGGCCGCCCATCTCCACTGCCACGCGGCTCAGGGCACGCTGTGTCTGATCCCTACGCCGCCCTGCCTGGCGGGTGAGGAGGGCGAGGAGCAGACCCGGCCGGTTTATGCGGCATCCATTGCTCTGCAGCTGCTGCCCGCCCCAGGCGTCTCAGGACACTGGCTGTGCCAGGAACCAAGAGGGCTGCTCCAGAATTTCAAAGGACTGAGAGGTAGCTGCGTTCGAAGGTCATGGGTTCGCCCTTAGTGCCTTAAAAATACCTTTTTCCAGTACTGGGCATAGAACCAGGAGCATTTTAACACTACGGCGCCCCGCAGCCCTGTGTAGATTTTATTTTGAGGCAAAGTCTCGCTAAATCATTCTACCTTTAAATCACTCTTCCTTTGGCTGTTTAGGTGTCTGAACATTCCTTGTTTTTAGAGACAGGGCCCAGCAATGTAGCCCAGGCTGGCCTTGAACTCACAGCCATCCTCCTGCCTCAGTCTCCGAGTGCTGGGATCACTGTCATGCACCATCACAGCGCCCTACAGGATCCAGCCCGGCCCACTTGGCGCCTGACCCCGCTCTGCTCCCCACAGCACAGCAGCACTCGCGGGGGCCCCAAGCCGAGACCCGCCAAGCAGCTGCCCCACCAGCTCTCGGCATCCTCGCGGGGCAGCGCAGGGCAGCCCAAAAAGCCAGTTCGGAGGGCGCCAATCCAGGGCCAGTGTTCTGGAGCAACCAGGCAGCGGCCTGGGATGTTGCCCATCTGCCTTAGCTAGAAGGCTATACGGTACCAGTGACTAGACCAGCACTTCTAAGCCTACTGCACATGCGGGAGTCATCTCCCAAATCTAGAGTTAAAAAAAATCACAATGACCACTGACATTTTTTTGCACAATCTATGACCAGTTCGTTTACACTGACAAGACCAAAACGGTAATGCTCTATACAATAAATAAAATGTAAGCACAAAATATTCCAAAAAATTTCATAAATAGAAGCTTTATACATCCAAAATATAGTATATGTGTATAAAATCTAATGAGACCAGACTACAGTTTTCACTATAAATTATGTATATATTTCCATACAGAAATACATTTATCTAAGATCTTAAAGTTCAGAAATAATTTACATGGACTTAGCGTGGAGAGTAACTTCATACACTGGGCTTTTTAGTAATCAGTCATAACCAGTTAGTCAATGGCAGGGCATGAGTGTCCTAATACCAAAAAAAAGGTCTCAGCTGTGGCAAAAGTGCCGTTTGAAGGAATATGCAGTGTTCCATTTCTGGACAACGGATAATACTAAAATTAGAGGGAGACATTAGATTTTGAACATGGTGGTGTCTTCAGTGTCAACTCTGTAGAGTGATATGAGGCAAAGTGAGGGATTTTAGTGAGATCAGAAGAGATCACCACCCATTTCATTTCTTACAAAAATGACATTCTTCTAAGGCAAAAGAAGGCTTGAGACAGTCTCGAGATGTAGTTGGATGTCCTTGAACTCACGGTGACTTCTGTACACTACCCGCCTCAGCCTCTCCAAGTGCTTGCATTACAGGTTTGCACCACCAAATGCGGCCCATGAAAATTTTTAAGTACCTGAAAAGTTAATAAATATACCATGCCTCAGTATCCCAAATCTTTTGTATGACAAATTAATCTCCACTTTATATACCTTAAAACATGATCTTTACATTAAAAGCTGGACTAACTAATAATGTGGCAAAGGACACGTATTGAAGACATGTATTCCATATTTAGATAAAGAAAAGGTAAGATGGTGCTCACGAAACATCCATAGGGAAGGGTTAGAAGGGCAGAGTTCAATGTTAAACTATGCTGGTGCTTGCCTGCTGTATAATTTTTGGCCATATTTATTAGTTATTCAAGGAGAAGTTATTTAATAACAGCTATTTAAGGAGATGCTTAGGTAATTTTAAAGTACTCTGAAAAAGTTATGCTTTTCTGAAAGATGAATATATATATATATATTCTCATCTTTGCATAATCTTCCCGTAAATCATACACACTACAATCTGTTACAAGTGTACTCACTTCCAGGAAAGATATCTGCTCTGCAGTTTACAAGGAACTCTGGCTAATGAACATAAATATAACTGAATCTACATTCATATCTTATTTCCATATATCCCATGCTGTATACTGACTTTCACAGAGCATTTTTGTACCAAATTTTTTGCAGAACCAGGGATTGAACTCAGGCTGTTGTGCTTGCCAGAGAAGCACTTATTCCACTAAGCCATCTCCCGGCTACATTTGTACCAAATTTTATCCTTCAATGCAGCTTGCAATGGTGAGGTGTATAATTTGATTAAAATGGTTCAACATATCACATAGGTGGGGCACGTAACAACTCAGTTGCTACTGATCCACTGATATTTATTGTCTGTTTCTTTCTGGACTCTTTGTTCTTCCCGGTGATTAGCTGCAGTCCAAAATGTTATTTTTTTGAGTACTTGTTGTAGGAGTTTAGGAGGTAATAGAGATATCTGACTTTTTAAAGTGATAGCATTTTTACCAATGCAGTCAAGGCATGACCTGTAAATAGAACATAACAAAATTATTAGTTGTTGAACCCAAAGTTATGATACAAAATATTTATAGTATGCTATATTTTTTCCAAGGTTAGGGATGGGAGTCAGGCCTACCTTACTACAGGTAGCACACTCTCCACTGAACTAAATTATAGAACCAAGTGAAGGGTTTTTTTTTTCTTTTCTTTTCTTTTTTTTTTTTTTTGCGGTACCAGGGATTGAACTCAGGACCTTGGAGCTATCTCCCTGGGCCCTAAAGTTTCTTTTTTTAAATGTATTTAGTCTCACTACACAGATCAGACTCATAATGATTCTCTTGTTTTCAGCCCCTCCCAAATGCTGGGATTACAGGCGCAAAACACCATGCCCAGTCTCAATTTCAGTTTCAGTGCATCCCAGGGGGGCGGGTCAGCATAGCATGGTGGGGATCAAACCCCAGTCTCTGTGTGCCTAAGCAGGCACCTTAATCTGCTGAGCTATCTGGCCCGCCCTCCTAGTAAAGTATTCTTAAAAGCATGAATAATTGGCCAGGGATGTAGTGCAGCACAGTGCCTGTCTGGCAAGTATGAGGTCCTGAGTTCAATTTCCAGTATTAAACAAATAAATAAATAAACTTTACATAAGAATGTACTTCTTGGGACCAGGGAGATAGCTCATTAGAATAAGCGTCTGCCTGGCAAGCACAGGGTCCTGAGTTCAATCCCTGGTAAAAAAAAAAAAAAAAAAAAAAAGTATTACCTTTGTGTTGCTGGGACATGAGGTTTTCTTTTCTTACAGCACGACAATAATCATTTTTATTGCACAGAGACTAACAGAATAAAGTCTAATAGAACCTACCACTTACTGAATGCATAATGGTATTTAATTCAATTTATGCAGCCTTAATGTGAAAGCAGATCAATTTATCCCAGACCTTCTTCCACATCCATCCTGGTAGCCCAATTCCTAGTCACCCTTCTGCAGGGATTGATTCTCTTCTGTCACCTCAGCACCCACTTTTATGAGTAATGGGTCTCTGCAACTCTTCCCGGCAGAACTTCAATGGGCTGCGTGCCTGACTGGGTGATGCCTAAGCAGCCAACAGGAGACGCCTTGGTTTTACTTTCAGGGGGCCTAGTGTTCCTTAATCCCACTTTAGGGAGTCACTTCCAAGTACCATTCCTTTCTTATTACTCTGAGATGAGTTTGTACTTTAAAACCAGAAGCAACCTAAGCATTATCAAAAAATCTATTCTAATTGCTAAACTTTAATTTCAAAAAAAAAAAAAAAAAGTAAGTCTTTTTAAAAATTCAGCTATGACAAAGTGGCTCATTTCCACCAGGATGGGGGAGGCCAACGCCCTGTGGCAGAGCTGCCCCACGCCCCTCACAAGCGCATGTCTACACCATGCAGATGCACACTGTCTTCCCCACTTCCACAAAGCCGCTCTCCTCTACTGTGTGGCGAGTTGGAGTGATTAGAGTCTAAATGTTCCACACAGGTGCAGAAAAGCAAGAACAGGAGCTCAGGGCTTGCTGCATGGAGGGCCAGCTGGGGCCCAACGTGTTGCCCATTCTAGGGCCTGGGCATGAACGTCCAATATTCAGGACTTGGACAGGGCTGCCTTCCAGACCGCAGGTCCAGTCCACGCCATCTACACAGAGACCTCAGGGTCCCAGCCTATGAAAGCAACTGGGACACCCCAACAGGCATCATCACCTGCACTAAGCCCATGAGTGCAGTGAACTATACTTTCATGAGACAGGACCTTACCCAGCTCTGAGGGATACAAACAGGCTGCGAGCTGACAATGTGTTTTAAATGTAGATTCTAACAGTGGAGTGCTAGCCTTCAGATGCACATGCATGTGTACTGCTCCTGCTCAAGTTTCCAGTGGCCTCCTCCAGGGTTAACTCTAATCATCTATCACCAATGTGATTTAAATTCGTTAGTCTGGAAAAGTACATCCCGAACTCAATCAGTGTGGGTGGTAGTTCATGGGTGTTTCTTCCTAATTTTCAGGTTGCATTCACTCTATTTTTTGGGTTAAAGCCCTGTATTGCAGCTGCTGCTGGGGCTCGAGCCCTCTGTGCATTGCGTGTGGACAGGATGACAGGCTGGCCAGTGACTTCTGGCCTGGGGCTGTGGACACAGTCCACACAGAGCCGGGTGGGTAGCTGTAAGGTTGGAGATGGCACCAGTGTGGCCTTGGTGAAGCTGACCAGGCAGGCAGTGCGGCCCCGGGCAGACACACAGCACTCGTCCATCCCAGTCAGCTTCTTGTGCTGAGAGGACACAGGTAGGTGTCTTGGGGCTAGGATCAGATGCGACACTGAGTCACCACCATGGTCACCTTGCAAGACTCCATGAGGCTGGCTGGTCTCCCCAGGGCCAGTGGAGAGCTTGCCCAGAAGGATACACTCGGATGGTAGCGGCTCCTCCTTGGAGCGCTTTCTCCCAGGCCAACGTGACCCCGTCCGGGTCCCTCAGTGGACGATGCTCAAGCCTGGCCCGCCAGCCAGTGTGGTCTGCACAGGCCTGATCTCGGAACCTTATCCTGGGAACTATTTCTTTGAATAAGTACATGTGCATGCACATCTCTACAAGGGCACGGCCCACATGTCCAGGGCATCACACAGCGTAGGCAGGGAAGTTACTGCCTGGGGAACTGCTTCTCCCAGGGTTAACAGGGAACATAAGCCCTGTTGATTGCAGGTCGGGAACGACAGCTCAGGGTGCCTGGACACGGGCTGCACTGAGCAGGGATCGCCTGCCCACCCACCCGGGTCCCAGAGCTCCGTGCTCAGAACCACCGGCCTCGCCCCCTCTACTCCGTGCACGCTCGTTCAGCCTGCAGACACCGCTGCGGCTCCGGCTTTCTGTCCATCTAGACCTCTCCTGAACGCAGCCACCCTGGGAAGCACTTTCCATCACCACAGCCCATCTCTATCTCGTGAAGCTGCTTCTGGCAAGTGGTTCCCCCAGGACTTCGTTCTTTGCCTTGAATCGCCTTTCCCACGACGTTGTCGCCCCATCCTGGCCAAACCCGAACCCTGGGGCATGCTCCCTGGCTCGTTGCCTGGCCCAATCCGGCTGCCCCAAAGTGCAGCTCGGCCGCGAGCGCCCCCTGCAATACCCCAGCAGCCACTTCAGCCGCGGCGCCCCTCGGACCACACCCAGCCCTTGCCTCCTACACCTGGCAGCTTGCATGGTCTATGCTTTCTCAGGGTGGGGTCCCACACCCATGCGTTTGTCTCTCTCCATCCACACTTCGTCTCTCTATGACTCTGTATTCTTCTCCAGGACTAACTGGACTGGCTTTGAGAATCTGCTTCTCAGGCCCGCCACCCGTTCTCCGCTGCCCTACCTGCAGCAGCGCCTCCTCCCGACCTCTCCAGCACGCGGGACTGCACCCCTGCCTCGGCCTCGCCTCCCTGCGCAGCCTCCTCCAGTGGACACCGAAAAGCTTTATCCTGTGCACGATGGCCAGAATCTACCCTGGGTGGCCGTGTTCCCATGAAAGGCTGAGTGGCTTCTAAGTCAGGCCAACAGCGGTGTTCAAGGTTCAGGCCATGTAAGCCATGGGAGAGCACCGGTGACAACGTTTTTTGAAACCCCCCACGAGCTTCTGCAGCGAGACAAGCCTGACACCAGTGAGGAGCAGCAGCAGCCAAGTGCGCTGTCCTCCCTGGCTCACTTGCACTCCCCGGCCTGGGTGCAGGAAAGCTGCAGCCCCACAGAGGCCGCGAATGGGCGCGTTCTCCCTCCACGGCGGCGCCTCCACGCAGGACCCCGCATCGCTCCCAGCTTCTGCCCGCTGGGCCCACATCCCGCTCGGCAATGAAATAAGCCACTAAAGTCACACCAACGACCTAACCACAGGTTTGGAACTAAAAAGATTACTTTATACTCAATGTGTTCATGTGCTATATTTATAGAAAACATAAATAACACTTACATTAGATACATTTTTGATTTCTGAGTTAAAATGTCAAAGTCGTAGAATTAAGGAAATATA